AAGAGCAGCTGTAAGGAAGCTCAGTTCGGCTCGGGCTGTCTGCGTGTCTCTGCTCAAAGCGTTGTTTTGATGGATCAGACATCACACAGGAGCACGGCGTTTGCGTTTCTCTGCTGAACACTAGAGATTCACAGAGAGTTTGAGTGCGGGTTAAAGGTGATTCAGTGCATTTGTGTTTTTTTATGAAGCGCTGTTCATTCATTCTGATCATGATTTGATTTTGAGGCCTCAGAGCTTCTGCTGCAGGTGTAACAGGATCATGAAGCCATCGTTCCTGTCGTGTGTTCATATCGCTGTCATCGTGTGTGTGTGTGTGTGTGTGTGTGTGTGTCACTGTCACTGAGTTTATGAAGCAGATTTATTGTTTTGTTGTTTCTGTCATCTGATGGTCAATCAGCTGATCTACTGTAGAGCCCTGTAAAAGATCCCCGCTCACACATTTAGGTTATAAAAATGCTGTAGGAACATTGTTTTGAAATGTTTATAAAGCATTTAAATGTCCAGTTTTCTTGCTGTGATTATAATGTTATTTAAAGATTACAAAAATGTTTCTTACAATATTCAACAAACTTTATTTTCATCCAAAATATAACGTTATTTGAATGTTTATTTTTAATATTCTAAGAACAGTTTTCTTTCATGATTAGAATGTTATTTAAAGGTTACAAAAAATGTTTCTTAGAACGTTCATAAAATACAAATAGCATCATGAGAATGTTCAGAGGATTTTGATCAAAGAATGTTTTCTCTAAACATTGTGAGAACGTGTATCAAATATTAATAAAGTAATAAGAATGTTCCATAAACATTACTTAAAAAAGTTTTGTCCTAACTTTTAAAAAATCATTAGTGAAAGTTGTGAGAACATTGTTTTATTACTGAATATTAATTCTCATTTAAACCCCATAGATAGTTGTTACGTATCCGGTCCATGAACTTCCGTCTGCTAGCCATCAGAGGTCACCCTTTCCATTTTCATTGACTCTCGCACTACACACTGTTGCATATCACCCCGGACTACATATCCCATCAGCCATTGCACTGATTGCACACAGCACTTATTGCACACAGCACTGATTGCACACAGCTGTCATCAATCACACATTCACTATAAATACACCCACTCAAACAACCATTCTGGGCCGAGTATTGTATGCGCTTATCGCCAGCAGTGATAGCTACTCTACAGAGCCCTCGTTAGCTTCCTAGCCTAGTCTTGCCTTGCCTTGTCTGTTTTCTCGGTTTCTGATCTTTGCCTGTTTTCCTGGATTCATCCCTTTAGTCTTGCCCTTTTGATTCTGTTCGCCGTTCGTTGACCTTCGCTAGCCCTAGGATTATTCTTGTGTCTTGCCCGCCATATACCTGTTCGCCATTGTTCGACCCTGCCTGTGTTTCTGACCTCTCTGCTTTAATAAAGCTTGCACATGGATCCGCATGTCTCACGTCTTGTCAGCCCCGTAACAGAAGTAATATATTTCTGTCATAATGTCTTAGTTTAGTTAAACTGCTTTTATTTTGTTGGTTTGTAGTGAGTTCCTGTGTTTATATTTCAGTGACAGTCACAAACACGAGTACAAATCGTATTTGAATTTGAATAATCGTACAGGCCTACTTTTGATTAATTAATCCAAAAATTGCCAAATTCAGTGACATTCTATACTTACTAAATTTGAGCTCTTAAGCTTCTTATTCTTCTTCTTATTAAGCTTCTTATTTAGAAAGATCGGTAAAGGACTTGTTTATGAAGACATTGTTTTTTTTTGTGATATGTAAATTTAAAAAAAATCTTGTGTAATTTTAATCAACTGTGTCTTTCTATTTTATTTTGTTTTATTTATTGCATTAATACAGCTCTTATGTAACTGTTAGAAAACGTACAACACAGATCTTGAGAATCTATGATCTTCATCTGCTGACACAGCATTTACTTTTTTACTATCTGGCATTAAATTTTTTACTATCTACCTTCCATGACATTCCACATTACAGCTATTTTACTGCAGATAATTAAAAGTGAAATAAAATGTCAAATGTCATAGGAAATCATATGGTGACGACTGTCTGAGTTTACATCATCATCTAACGGTGTGTGTGAGTGTAAAATGTGGCTCATGAGCTGCTGTTCACTAGTGAATATATGACCCTGTCTTAAGCAGCACAGGTATATTTGTAGCAATAGCCAACAATACATTGTATGGGTCAAAATTATTAATTTTTCTTTTATGCCAAAAATCATTAGGGTATTAAGTAAAGATCATGTTCCATGAAGATATTTTGTAAATTTCCTACCGTAAATATATCAAAACTTAATTTTTTATTAGTAATATGCATTGCTAAGAACTTCATTTGGACAACTTTAAAGATGATTTTCTCAATATTTAGATTTTTTTGCACCCTCAGATTCCAGATTTTCAAATAGTTGCATCTCAGCCAAATATTGTTCTATCCTAACAAACCATACATCAATGGAGAGATTATTTATTCATCTTTCAGATGATGTATAAATCTCAATTTAAAAAAATTGACCCTTATGACTGGTTTTGTGTTCCAGGGTCACATATAGTGAATGTACACTGTGTGTCTGACGTCACTGTAGTGTAACTCTGCTGATTTTTAACTCCAGGTCTGTGGTGAGGACTCTCCGTCCGTGTCTAATGAGTGTTTTCCTCTCTGTCGCGTTGATCCCTTGCTCCGTCGCTTGTGTTGATCTGATATGTAGATGTGTGTCTTCTCTTGCCGGCTGGTTTGTGTGGCCAAAGCAGCGTGAGTTATTTATTCAGCGGCGTGTGATGAAGAGCAGATGAACCAGCCGCTGCGTTCAGCCCTTTCCTAGTAAAATCTGACTTTGAGCAGCTCACAGAAACGAGGAGCTCATCATTTGCTCTTTCATTTGTTTGTGCTGGTCAATATGATGTTAACCAGCTTCTATTTTATTAACACGAGTGTCGTTCTCTTCAAGAGGGGCACAAACATCCTTTACTGGCATTTCAATTACAGGGCAGCTCGTCAAGCGCTGCTTTAATTAATTAGAGAGTGTGTGTGTGTGTGTGTGTGTAATGTGTTGTGTGATAGCTGATATCAGTGTTCACTGCAAAAAATTATTCTCTTACTTAGTGTTTATGTCTTGTGTTCTAGTATAAATATCTAAACATTCTTGAATCAAGATGAATTTACTGTACAAGAAAAATGACTTAAGGTATTATGTCTTGCTTTCTGTAAAAAAAAATATATATAAAAATTTTGTTGGTTTTCCTTAAAACAAGCTAAAATATCTGCCAATGGGGCAAGAAAAATAATCTTGTTTAGCCTTTGAATTAAGATTATTTTTCTTACCCCATTGGTAGATATTTTTGCTTGCTATTATAAACAGCTAGTTAAAAATACTAAAATGTAACACTAACAAAAAACTTTCTGCATTTTTACAATTGAAAAAAATTCTTTAGGGAGCAATGCACTGAAATTGTTTTGGCTGAAACAGCAATTTTCAGTTTCGACTGAAATAGTTTTAGGGCCAAAATCATTGACTGAAAGAGTTTACTACAAGTTACAGCACCAAATAAACATGAATAAACATCAGAAAAATCAGAAAAACTTACTTAAATGAATCATGTAATCAATCAATCAATCAATCAGTGATTCAACCACAGAAAGACATCAATAAAACAGCTTGAGATCAATAATGTCACCTAACGTCACATTTACCTCAAATCACAATCAATGTCCATAAACTAAAAAAGTAACTCTAGAGAGGAGCATTTTAATAAATATATGCACTATATTACATATTCATGATATTTTTACTTATCCTGTGGTTCGATATTTAATGTATGTTTGCATAAATCCGTCAAGAAAACAAGTTTTTATTAATGCCTCTGTTTGAATGTTTATATTTCATCAACAAATTGGAGTACAAACCTAATTGTGTTATTAAAACCATGACGTAAAAACTGCCTTATGTGCAATTTAAATGTTTGTACAACTCAGGTTTTATTTGAGTGTTGATTATTAGATAAATATGATTAATTAATTGAATGTTAAATTAAATTTAGACTAGGTTTTCATCCAAGTACATCCTGAAGTATTATTTGTATAGCGCTTTTCACGATGCAAATCGTTGCAAAGCAGCTTTACAGAAAATTAAAGTTTCTACATTATATTTAGTAGTAGCTTGTCAGTGGTGACTGTCTCAAGTTGATGTCCATATGGCAGAAATGTACGGAAAAAATCAAGCAGTTAGTTAATGTCATGTAATCAAACAGACGGTGAACACTATTAACGGCAATGATTATATGTAGCGATCAAACTTATAGCAAAGTTTGGTAGTTTTGTGTTTTGTTTGAGGGTTGGCATCATCTGCGGTCCTCTTCAGCCCAGAATTTTCATTTTGGTGCATCACTAGATTTTTCAGGTTTAGTTCATGTCTTGGTACAAACACCAAGGTTTCTCACATGATCTTATTACATGCTGTGTGTGTGTCATTCAGTTATGGCCGAAACTCATCTAGTAGCTCGCAGAAACACAAGAACCTGGGAGAAAATAAACGTGCTCTACTTAAATGCATAAGCATTAGGTCATGGGTTCGATTCCCAGCGAATGCATGAACCCAAAGATGTGTAGCTTGAATGCAGTGCAAGTCGCTGCGAATAAAAGCGTCTGCCAGATGCATGAATGTAAAGCGTGAGGTTTGATCGCGTGAGCCATCGCTCACACATGTTTTTCTCCCGTGCAGCAGGATCTGGCTCTGATCTGCAGTGATTTGTGGGTAATTTGTTGCACAAGGAAACTCATGCGTCCCTGAGAGCATGCGAGGTCAGAGGTCAGCGTGTAAATCAGTCCGTCCCATCGCTGAGCTCTTTCTCTTACAGGCTGAGGTTCATGTCAGCAGTTCTCTCAGTTTACCCACGATGCTCAGCGGCGCAATCGATCTCTGACGCATGTTCCGCTCGGCCAGTTAAAGCGATCTGCTGATTAGGTGTGTGTGTGTGTGTGTGTTTCTGCAGGCTGAAGTTCAGAAGTGATCGAGCAGAGCGGCAGGATTCAAACATGCGGTCGCAGGCCTTGTTGCTGTATTTCACGGTGCTGCAGACGGCCGGAGCCGCTTTCCCAGAAGACACCGAGCCAATCAGTATTTCACACAGCAACTGTGAGTAACTGCGTCTCACCTCCTCGCTCCGTCTCGTCTTGTTCTCACAGCGGCTCTGGGAAATGTGATCCTGGTGGCCAGAGAAACTGTAAATGCTGTCAGAGTCGGCGAGACTTCAGAGATCCTCTTTTGTTTTGCCTGTCAGGATGAAAGACTTACACACACACACACACACACACACACACACACACACACACACAGACACAGACACAGACACACACACACACACAGACACAGACACAGACAGACTCACACACACACACAGACACACTCACACACACACACACACACACACACACACACAGTCTCACTTAAAGGCCCCTGAAATGCACTGTTTCGTATTTCCTTTTAAAACAGCAAGTTCTTGTTTTGTATTCAAAAGGTTTTAATTTTTCTTTCTGTCATGAAACACGATTGGCTGTTTTGCTGTTATGTTCTCATTCTAGTGCAGAGTTTCCCAAGTTGATAAAAAGCTAATAATGAATTAAGGCCAGACACTACAGGCAAAACCATGCACTGGTCAGTTTTGAGGTCTATTTTGCTTCCTTATCATGTCTCTTCTTTCAGACTAGTGGAAAGAAAACATCCAAAACACACATTTAAGTGTTTATTTTATTGCACTTTATCTCATTTGCATCTTTCATATCTGTAAAGAGTTCTTTCTCTTACAAACAACAAACTTTACAGTTTTATCCCTCTCTATATTCTGAAGGTTTGTTCATATTTCATTCACACTGATTTCTACAACATTTCACTCCTAAAAACATGGTGAAAATGTGTTTGTTTTCTGTCTGTTGACAGTATTTTCTGATTCATGGAGTGATAAATCAAAGTAGAATTATGGACTTTATCCAAAGTTCAGATTTAGTCTCTTGAAATGCATGCAAATTAGTGCATATTTAATTAGAAGATGCTTCATTTGCATATTTAAACATAACATCTCAGAAAACTTGTGATAAAAATTTTTTTCCCGAGTTCTTAATGTACTCAATCAACTAGGGAAGTACGATAATGTCTATTATTTTTAAGATTAAATGAACATTTTTACCCTTATTCACCTGTGGTGTCTTGCCTTAAATCGTCCAAATGCAAAATTAAAAGAAATGTAATATCAATTAAAATAAAGCATTTACTAAAGAGATGAAACATTTAGTTTAGCTGCATATCATGTGATTCTTGGCGAGATCAGAGAGCCGTGAACATGTGAATGTGTTGATAAATGATTCAAATATTAACTTTATAACTCAGTGGCTCAGTGATGTCATCAGTATTTCGGCCTGTTTTCCTGAACGACTGTAGCTCTGCTGAAGGTTTATTGTCCCGTGTGGATTTCACAGGCTCTTTAATGAGCTGATGCTCTGCTGAACGAGTGCGAATCAAACTCTGTTCCTCTTCCCGTCAGATACCAAACAATATCCGGCGTTCGTGGGACACAAACCGGGAAGGAACAACACGCAGCGGCACAAACTGGACATTCAGCTGATCGTCATCATGAACCACACGCTCTATGTGGCCGCCAGGTGAGTTTGCTATTTAAAGATCGGCCCTGTGTTCAGCAGAGACTGGGAACGCGCAGATTGAGCAGATTGTTGGCATGGTAACCAGCAGCCCATTCACAGCATATGGACAAGAAGCAGCAGATGTTCAGAGTCAGAGAGCCAGCGGCCGTGAGAATCAGAGCTTTACACACATACTTGACAAGTTTTATGTTTATCTGGGTTTCTTAATATGCCCTTCCATGAATGAAGTCCTTAAATCATAGCAGAAAATCTTAAAATCATAAAGTCGTGGCGTTAAATGTTGCATGAACTGCAAAGTATGAATATCTTCCTCAGTATTTCTGTCTTGTTTTCCAGAACAAATATCTAAACATCCTGAAATCAAGACACATTTACTGCAGGTGCAGAATGAAGATATGAAGTCTTGTTTTCTGCTAAATTAAAAAACTAAAACCATAAACCTCAAATAAAATCAACTTAAATAAAAAAACAGTACTGAAATAAAAATGCCATAGATATTTATAAAAATAAAAAATAGACAAAAACACACAAAGAAATTACTTTGAACTAAAATTTGAATGAAACATAATATAAAAATAAAAACTAATAAAAAATATCAATGAAAATTAATAAACATTTTAAAAAATAAAAATAAAAACAAAAAATTACTAAAAACTGTAATAGTATCTCTGATATAAATTAACACTGGTTAGAAGTTGTATTTTCAAAGTTTGTGAAAATGTCTTGCTTATTCAACTTAGAGAACATGTATTTTTTGGGTTTTTTTCATTAAGTGTCTTAAAAAGTCTTACATTTACCTTCATAAATCCTGCAGAAACCCTGATTTATGTTTTCACAAAAGGACCTTCTAAATTAAAATTATTTTCAGGTCTTCTGATTGTTCTGAATGTGTGTGAATGTTGAACTAATAATCATAAGATCTCTTTATTAATTTAACAGTACTTTAGCTGTTTTGGGTGTGTATGTGAATGATCTGAGATCTTATTTCTCTTGATAAACATTGGCGTGTTCTTTGGCCAGAGATACAGAGAGTCACACCTGATCACACTCTGATTGATTGGTTGCTGTAGGCTCCGCCCCCTCTCACTCTCCACTAATGAAAATGCTGGAGCTCTGATTGATTGATAGCTAGAGTCTCCACAGGTCAGATCTCTGATTACAAGAGGTTTGAAAGCTCTAGCGGTGGATCAGTGTTTTTCTGATGGTCAGATCACAGCTCTTTTGTTTTCTTCTGTGCAGTTTAGAAAAAACAATGTTTTCTGCTTTCAGCTCCAGGCTCTTCTGGGCTTTCTGGTGTTTTGTGGCTTTATTTAGGCCTGTAGTGGCTGATGTGACTCAGCACCACTGTAAAAAGAGTTTTCTTTGGAGTTTTTCTTCAGTTTGTTTTGTTTCTTGAAACCTCAGTGCAGCTCAACAAAATCTGATTGGTTGCTGTAGGCTCCGCCCCCTCTCACTCTCCACTAATGAAAATGCTGGAGCTCTGATTGATTGATAGCTAGAGTCTCCACAGGTCAGATCTCTGATTACAAGAGGTTTGAAAGCTCTAGCGGTGGATCAGTGTTTTTCTGATGGTCAGATCACAGCTCTTTTGTTTTCTTCTGTGCAGTTTAGAAAAAACAATGTTTTCTGCTTTCAGCTCCAGGCTCTTCTGGGCTTTCTGGTGTTTTGTGGCTTTATTTAGGCCTGTAGTGGCTGATGTGACTCAGCACCGCTGTAAAAAGAGTTTTCTTTAGTTTGTTTTGTTTCTTGAAACCTCAGTGCAGCTCAACAAAATCTAGTGATGAAAATACAGCAGGACAGAGAGAAAGAGGAAGGACAGTTCTGATCAGTGACCGGTTGCAAAAGAAATTCAGTTAAATCGCTCTAATTTGAATCCAGAAAATAAGACTGATTAACTCTTAGCTAACTGCTAGTTAGTCAAACTAGTTCTTAAGACAGTGTCTGTGTTTGTGTAACTGGACCCTGGTGATGTGAATATAAAACACACGGCCAGAAACATTTAAATACAGGAGAGCTGATCTGATCTAAAGCTGCATGATCCACACTGATCTGCTGTGTATTAATTATGGATTTAGACGATATTGAGCTGAAGTTTCTCAGATTGTGTGTTGCAGTGGACATGATATGAAGCTCACACACAAACAGGACAATAACGTTTTCTGAACAGCACTTCTTGTAGGATTGTGCATGCTCTTAATTCCTCTGGTATCTATGCATCTGCATTTCACTCTTTGTAACTGATATGACATATAGATATATTTATGTCAAAGTCTCAAAGTCTGCTTTATTGTCAGTTCTGCCACGTGTACAGTACATACATACAGAGAATTGAAATTGCGTTACTCTCAGACCTTTGGTGCATACAGTTAACACTAACAGTAGAACGTGAAAATACATATTAAATATATAAAATTCAAACTATGCAAATATACAAATGAGGACATGTAAAAAAAAAAAAAAGATAAAGTGGCACAAGGCAGATAGAGTGCAAACCAGTGAAATAAACAGTGCAGATATAATGAGTGTAGTGCAAAAAGAGCTTATCAGTCTGTTTAAAGTGACAAAGAGCTCAGAGAGCAGTCTTTATTTAAAGCTCATGAATTGCTCATGCATTTGAGCTCTGGGTCTGGAGGTGCTCATGGGACATTGTCCACATTCCTCAAGCTGTGGCCGAGGCGTCCCTTAACAACCCAAAGTACTGACCCCAGAACAGCTGAGAAACTCCAGAAGGTTCTGGAGCCGCGTCTGAGGCCTCATGTGTGATGGAGGGCGGAGCTTCGGTGGAGGATTGACAGGTGTGAGACGCATACTAATGAGTTCCTTTCTCTGCGAACACGGAGTGAGAGAGTTTGACAAAAGGCCACCAGATGGACGCGGCCGGCCCGCATGAGAAGCACATTCCTGCGCACAAAGAGCCTCTGTTGAGCTCTGGACGATCGGCACAAACCTGCACTCAGTAAAACTCATCAAACGTGAGAGGGGTTGTGTGTTCAGTTCGTTTTTAGCAGATACGCATGCTTGAATGTGATGGATTATTCACTTTCTTTCCTTTGGAGAAACCTGGAGAAATCTGTAGCTTTGTGTCTAATCAGATGAAGTCTAGTCAGTCGTGTTTATTTCTATAGCGCTTTATACAATACAGATTGACAGAGATAAACAGGAAGATAACAGAATCGATTATGGAAACTCGTAGGGCTTGAAATTGGTCATTGTAACAGAATTACAACAAAATGTTCTATAGCGCCGCAGTCCAATCAGCAATGACAACCAATGGCAAAAACAGTGAAAACAACACATTTCAATCATTTAAATCCAAATCTGCATGATAAATCACATTTTAATTGTGATCATGGTTTCTGCTTCTTTGGAAGAACCTTTAACTCTAATATTAAAACGAAAGAAACTAGAGTGTGAACCTGACTTTATCCAGTGTTCAGATTTATGTGCTGGAAATTTGTGCAAATGAGTGCATATTAAATTAGATATTGCCTCGTTTGCATATTTAAAATGAACACTTCAAAATCAAGTCGACAATATCGCTGGATATTAAGTGTCCCCAACTAAGCAAGTCAGAGGAACTGCGGAATCGACGTTTGTGAAAAAAAAAGCATTTGTGTTTCATGGTAAAATTCCAACTCAAATAAAAATAACTACTATTGTTTATACTAAAACTTTACTTAAGCTTGTCTTCAGACTCAATGGTATCATTCTGAATTGTGAACTGAAGTGAGAACATGCCATTATTAACGCCATTCTAGAATATTACGAATATTAGTCCTGCATAGATTCAGTCTTCCTGGTATTCTGTAGCTTATATAAACAGATGATATTAAAGCATCTTCTGTGGACGCTGTAAGCTGTGCTTTATCTCTGCGTTTGGAAGCACAGTTTGTGACTCATCTGTAGATCGGTGAAGTCATTTTTACAAAAGGCATGGCAAATAAATAATTTTTCTACGTTTTCTACATAAAACAGATTATTGGAGTGCGTTTTATGAGAAAATACTATTTCAGTCTTTCTACTTAATAATTTTGTGTTTAATTCAATGTAGTTACTTGTGAAATTTTATTAGCAATTTCTGAATGAAAATAGTTGCTACACCAGATTTTTTCACTATGTATATTGACAAATTAATTTATTTATTTGTAAGTTTCAGACGGATTCCCCAAACTACCTGCAAGTTGCATGAATCTCTAAATGACACATTTTGGCTTCCGAACAGCAAAAATAATTTTGTACCTACAATAATCATGGAACTTAATTATCAAATGTTAAAATACTTAATTTTGTCTTTTGAAAGTTGCGTTCAAAATTCATTTGGCTCAGAAATCTGCGGGCCGTGAGTCCATCGCTTTGAGTAGTTAGTGCATCACATCCGTTTCACATCCACATTTCATCAGACCTGAAATAAAAGAAACAAACAGAGTTCTCGACAGTAACTTCATCAGTTCTCACTGAGATCAGCAGTAATTACACGCTAGAATGGAATTTCACTAACGAGTGCGGAGCGACACCGTACCTGTGCTGATTGAAATTCATCAGTCAGAAACACAATCTCTGTGTAGCTCAGACGAGCTGATTAATTGAGCTGATCTGATTAATGCTGCTGGAGGACTGAATGAGTGTTTCTGTCCATCACACACACACACACACACACACACTCACACTCACACACACACTCACTCTCACACACACGCGCACACACTCACACAAACACACACACACACACACACACACACACTCTCTCTCACTCACACACAC